ATGATTAACTCTGTCACTTACAATGTTTCCAAATATCTGGCGTCTGTACTCATCCCTTTAGTTGGCAGCTCAGAACACCACATACAGAACACCATGGACTTTGTGGATAAGGTGAGGGATGTCATCATGGAGACTGATGAAACAATGGTCTCTTTTGATGTCACATCACTCTTTACGTGCATTCCTGTTGATGATGCAGTAGAGGTGGTCAGTTTAAGATTAAAATCAGACACCACTCTGAGCAGCAGGACCACGCTTTCCACAGAACAACTGTGTCAACTCTTGAAACTGTGCCTGCAGTCAACCTACTTCACATATGGGGAGCAATATTATAGGCAGAAACATGGGTGTGCTATGGGGTCTCCAGTTTCTCCTATTGTTGCCAACCTGTACATGGAGGAGGAAGAAAAGAGAGCCCAACATTTTTCAGTCAGGTCATCTGGACAGTTTCTTTTTTTTTGTGCTGAAACGTTTTGCCTTTGGTCCGGAAGGCTTCCTCAGTCAAGGTAACACACAACAAAACTGATTCTTCCCCCAACAGCTTACTCCAAAGTTTTACAAACCAGTTCTGCTTGTGATAAGATGGTCTCTTTGGTATGCCTCCTCCTCCATTGCCGGCCCTGACTGAAAAATGTTGGATTTTATACCTGGATTATTGAGCATGGACTTTGTTGTTTTCAACCAGTTTGACAAGACTGTCAACAAGGAAGAGGGCTGGCAATGGAGGAGGGGGCGTACCAAAGAGACCATCTTATCACAAGCAGAACTGGTTTGTTCCACTTTGGAGTAAGCTGTTGGGGGAAGAATCAGTTTTGTTGTGTGTTTCCTTGACTGATGAAGCCTTCCAGACCGAAGGCGAAATATTTCAGCACAAAAAAAAGAAACTGTCCAGATGACCTGACTGAAAAATGTTGGATTGTATACCTGGATTATTGAACATGAACTTTGTTGTTAGAAAAGAGAGCCTTGATGTCCTTTTCAGGGACACCACCAAGTCATTGGTTCAGGTATGTTGACGACACCTGGGTTAAAGTTAAATCTCAGAAAGTCCAACATTTTACTGACCACATCAACTCTGTGGATAAATACATCAAGTTCACACGAGAAGATGTAAAAAATGGCAGGTTGGCTTTCTTGGACTGTGAGGTCTCAGTTTCTGATAGAGGACAATTGCAAACCGAGGTGTACCGCAAACCCACCCACACAGACCAATATTTGCAGTTTGACTCCCATCACCCTTTGGAGCACAAGTTAGGAGTCATCAGGACTCTGTATCACAGAGCAGACAGCATCCCCACTAGCTCAGGAGCCAGGCAGAAGGAGAAATCCTACACAAAACAGGCTCTAGAGCAATGTGGATATCCTAACTGGGCCTTCCTGAAAGCAGAGAAGAAACCCAAACAGGACTCCAGTCAGCCAACAGGTGAAAAGGAGGAACCCAGACCCAGACCAGTGGTCATTCCGTTTGTTGAGGGAGTATCAGAGAAACTGAGACGTTTATTTTCTAAACACAACGTCCCAGTGGCGTTTAAACCCCAAAATACATTACGGCAAAGACTGGTTCATCCCAAAGATCCAGTCCCCCGGCACAAACAGAGTAATGTTGTGTATGTTGTTCAGTGTCAGGAGGGTGATCAGTCTTACATCGGGGAAACTAAACAGCCACTGGCCAAAAGGATGGCCCAGCACAAAAGATCAACATCATCAGGCCAGGATTCTGCGGTCTACACTCATCTCCAGGCCAGCGGTCACTCTTTCAGGGATGAAGATGTTCACATTCTGGATAGAGAGGAACGATGGTTTGAGAGAGGAGTAAAGGAGGCCATCTTTGTGAAAAGAAATCGTCCATCATTAAACAGGGGTGGAGGCCTCCGGGTTCAACTGTCCCCCTCTTACAATGCTGTGATTGCTAGTATCACTCAGTCCTCTGTGAATAGTAAACAGCCATCAGTGTGCTAATGATCCATTGTTAGGCTGATGGTCCTTCTTGATCATGTGAGCAGCTGGTTTTGGTTGTCAGCAGCAAACTGGTTGATCCACTCTGAGAAGGTGCTATTTAAGAGACTGAGCTGAATACAGCACCTCAGACTGAGGAAGTCTTTCGGATGAAAGACGAAACGTTTCTACACTTTTTTGTTTGTTTGTTTGTTTTGCTTTGTTGTGTTTTTTGAATGTCCAGAGGACCAGACTTAACTTTTTTAGATTTATGTTCAAGTAAATGATGTCAATTTCTGAAATATTTATTTATGAGGTAAAATTTCCACAGCAGTATCGTATCAATTTTTCGAGAATGCTAATATTAGCTTCTATAAATCAGCTTAGAAAATGAAACGATTGCAAAACAGTTAAATATTTTTAAACTTGAAATAAAACTAAAACCAAATCTCTATGCAACATGCAAAAAAATAGAAATGTGTGAAAGAGCTTCATTAGTGTGATTTATCTGTTGATTTCAACTACTGACCAGCAATCTCAAAAAGATTGGAGAAAAGGATGATGGATTTTGTATTTTTACTTCGATCCGACCAGAACCCAAATAGAGGACCAGTCAGCAGCCCGCTCAGGCTGAAGGCAGACAGACCCAGACCCAAAAAGTACGGTGGTGCCTCCAGAATCTGCAGATAACTCCAGATCGTAGGCAGTATGACAGCTGAAATGACACTGTGGAATAATTGGGAAGTGCCTCAAACTTTTCCCATCATCTTTCATAAGTGCTCACAAGCAAAACCATGCATCCAAAAAGATGTCATCATGAACTCACCGTACTCTATGCCGCTCAGCATAAATATTAATCCAATGGTGAAAAAAGTTATATTCCTCTTTTGGTTATTATCCATTGTGCTGATTCACCGGCTGCTGTTTATATTCAGATTTCTTTCTGTACATGTTGTGCAGAAATGTTCCGAGACGCTTACAGATAATAAGATACACCATGCGACCACTTACAGCTGCTGGCTCAGATAATTAGAGAAAAAAGTTGCACATTTGTGCACACTGACAGCACAACTTTTCAAAAACGGACAACAAAGACAGAGCTTTTCCAAAGTAGAGTCCTGAAATTCAGATTAGAATATATCAGATCAGAGCTGGAAACAATACCATACAACTTGGATTGATTGCAGCAGTCCAACTCCTTTAGGCATTTATGTTAAAGAAGAAATTCTGTTTGAGTCGCGTCAGAAGCGAGGTGCCACGCTGCGAGCCTCACGGTCAAGGCAAGGTCTCAGGTTGCCAAGTGAGGCAAAGTAGCCCAAGCTTTATACATTTTTAATCATGTTTTCTTCTGTTACATCAAAAGGCTGGATTCTAGTGCAAGCCTGTAAAGAAAGGTAGAAAACCCATCAGTTCTTTGAGGTTATAGAAATTAATAACAGTGTTTTTATAGTAAACAGATGTTATAGTAAAAGTAATTCAAAAGTTAGTTTACTCACAAACAAAAGTTGTGAAAAATCGATCATTTATCATGATTGATGGCTAGAAAGATAGACAGGCTGCATTGTGGGTACATTTTGTGTCTCAACAGCTTGGTATTTATTGGTAATAACTGGTTGGGTGAACATGTTGACATGTATCTTACCATCGCTTTGACATACATGTATCAGCACTTGCCATGGAGATTTGGTTGTCAGTGATCTCCTTGAACATCACTCCCATTGGCCACTATTCATATTTGCATTCAAGAACACAGACCTAGATTCACTAAGAATGTGCAGCACCTATACTGTAATTTCCTCCAGTTGTTGCAAATCATGTACTGGGACATGCTTATCACGCTCAGTGAGAACAGATTGGACTTTCCTCTGTCATTGTCCTTGAGGCACAATTTGTAAATGACTGTCCATCACAAACACATCAAGTACAAAACTGACCAAAAGAGAAAATTAATCTATCGTAGTGACTACCTTTGGAGTCAACCTGATTCAAGATGGCTGCCACAACTAACTGACCTTAGCAAACACAGAAATGCAAAATAGATGAAATATTGATCAATACTACTTTGAAAAACTTGAACTTGAACAAGAATATATGTCTCATTGGATGAATATTATAAAGAAATCGTGAATGCCAAAGAAGTTTGCATCAGAGTACAAATGTGTTTGGTGTGTGTTCAACAACATTAAATTAAGAATGCCTTCACATTTAGACATTGGTGTTCATTTTTATCAGTTAACCATAGGCATCGCAACAAATATATGTGAAGGGGACATGTCACCCTCACATTCACACATTTACCATGACATATTAATTCACCCAGCGCTGTTTCTATTTTTTCTTGATTAAATCCATTCCACTTGATTAATAGGAGAATAGTCAAACTACTAAAAGTCCACTCCAGGTTTTCCTGGTTACTGACTACAATGCACCACCCCACATGCAGTGTTTCCCCTAGGTCATTTGCCTTGGCAGGACACTCATCTCTTTGGAGGTTTTTGTTGACCAGGCAGGGGGAGGAGAGGGAGACACCTCTGTGTTGCTGTCAGCATCAGGTGGACAGGAACGAACCCAGTTGTGCAGACAGGACTCAACTCGGCAGATTAAAAAAAACTAAATACTTTAATGGCGAAATAAAAAGGTAACAAAACAATAAGCTGACGTGGCAGCAAAACTTACATGAACCAGAAGACTCAGGGAGAAACTCACAAGGACTCAGGAAGCTCAGGGAAAACTCAGGAGACGCAGGAAACATGAAGAACCAACGAATACGACCCGACAAAGGAACAACACAGAACAGGAGGCTTATATACAAGGACAAGACAAGACGTGATTACAACAGGTGTGACGAGACAAAGGTGGCAACAATTAAACTGACGAGGAAACACTAGGGAAACACAGACACAAACAGAAACAGCAAATGGTACCATCCTTACAGTTGCATGCTAGCTTTGCACTACGTTAGTGCCGGCAGTTGTCAACCGGGGTGGTGGTGGGTGGGGGGTGGGGTTAGAATGTATGAGAGAAGTGGTGTGGACTTTATTCACACAAGGAGAGCTGTTGGTCAGGCTACTTCCTGTGACATGCTCTCTAAAATAGTTATTGAAGCAACTGTTTACTTATGTAGGTAAATGTAGATGTTTAGCAACCCATTAAAATACACCAGAATGCAGGAAATGGCATATACTTTATTCAGAATTTTCTGGGCGAAATCCCCCAGACCCCCCCCCCCCCCCCACCACCACCACCACCAGTATGTTCTCCCCACATTACAAATGCTTCTGATGCCAATGCGATGCCACAAAACACATTGAACACATTGAAAGATGAACCACTCTGTCATTAGACATTAGATCCAGAATTGAAATTATAAAGATGAATATTTTCTCAACATTGTTATTTTTATTTCAACTTCTTTCCTTTAAATCACATCAAGAACTGTTTTAAAATGAGCACAGGTTCATAAGCAATGACCAAAAGATTTTTTTTTAATTATTCATAACATCTTTACACTTCAGTTAAAGTTGTGACGAGCATTCAAGCATGCAAACTGGAAAAATAAAAACATTGATATCTTACACCTTACACACTTACAACATTAAATTAGTGAAAACTCAACAAAATGCAGTACTATGTAACAATTCACATACTTTGGGTATTTGGTTTGAAAGGATTAAGAAATTGAAATTGGACAAGGGGGTGTGAAAACGATTTGCTAGTTTGCTTTTGATGACAGATTTGTCAAGCCTAATTGACCAAAAAGTTCAAAAGCTGCAAAACTAATCAGATTACTGCAATATGTATACATGTATTCCTGGAAAATAGAAGTTTAAAGTTCTTCCATGGGTTGAAAGAGAATTATGCAGTATCTGATCAAAATTTCTTTAGATATCTCCAACTGAGGGGCTAACTCCTTCAGGAAATACCAAATATTCAAACTTTAAATTGGGTGTTTGATGCTGTGGTTCAGATATACAGAGGAAGAAAGCTGAAGTCAACATCAGCTCTATGTCAAAATCTAAGAGATAGTAGACCTCTCATCTGCTGAATGCACATTAAAACTAAATGAGTAAAGAAATGCACATTCAGATTCTAAAAGAAAATGGGTTAATCATGTGAGTCACAAAAAAAACTAATCAATTATTTTATCAAACTTAATATGTAATATTCTTTCTAGAAAAGCATATTGCCCACCGCCTCTCATGTCAGTTTTAGACTAAGAATATTTAAAGATGAGAAATTACTTGTTTTTAGCAATTTTGGTCAAATTTTGAAAATATAATCCACAATCTCAATATCAGCAGATGTTATTCTAGACTGTTGTGAATGACTCTCAGCCATTGTTGTCAGAAACATTTGTAATTGGGGGGGGGGGGGGGGGTACCCTTTTGGGGGGTGTGGGGGTGGTCGAGGGGTCCTCCGTAGATGCCACACATTCTGGTGTACTTTAACATGTTGTACGTTTACCTACTGTATATACATGTATGTAAACACTTGATTCAATAACTATTTTAGAGAGTAACAAGAAATAGCAGCCTGACCAACAGCTCTCCTTGTGTGGCTCCACAAACACCTCCCCACCCCGCACCCCCACCAGGTCGACAAATGCCAGCACTAACGTAGCATTAAAGCTAGTGGCATGCAATACAGACACGCTAACTAAGATGCAACAGATGTAGCACTCCACTTCTCTCATGCATCCTAACTCCACCACCCCACCTCAGTCAACACTAAAAATAATGTTGAAAAAATATTCATCTTTATCATTTCAATTCTGGATCTAATGTCTAATGACAGAGTGGTTCATCTTTTAATGTGTTCAATATGTTTTGTGGCATCACATTGGCGTCAGAAGCATTTGTAATGTGGGGGGAACACACTGGTGGTGGTGTGTGTGTGTGTGTGTGTGTGTGTGTGGTGGGGGGGGGGTCTGGGGGGTCTCGCCCAGAAAATTCTGAATAAATTAGATGCCATTTCCTGCATTCTGGTGTATTTTAACGGGTTGTTAAACATCTACATTTATCTACATAGGTAAACAATTCAATAACAATTTTAGGGATCATGGCACAAGAAGTAGCCTGACCAACAGCTCTTCTTGTGTGAATAGAGCACGCACTGCTTCTCTCGTGCATTCTAATCCTGCCCACCGCCACCCCAGTTGACAACTGCTGACACTAACATAGCGCTAAGCAAGCAGCGCGCAATACAGATGTGCTTCATTCTCTCACACATCCTAACACCACCAACCCGGATGATCAAATGCAGGCACTAACGTAACTTCAAGTTAGTGCGCAACACAAAGTTGTCTCCTCCTCCTCCCCCCACCCCACTGACAAAAAACCCCTGAAGAGATGAGCAACCTGCCAAGGCAGGTGACCTCGGGGAAACATTGCATGCGGTGTGGTGAGTTGTTGTAGGTAACCAGGAAAACACGGAGTGGACTTTTAGTGGTTTGAATATTCTCTCATAGTCAAGTGGAATAGATTAATTCACAAATAAATAGAAACATAGCTGGGTGAACTAATATTTATATCAATGAGATTGATATGAGATTGATAAAAAAAAAGTTAATCAGTTTTAAGCACATATTCATTACTTTTTGAGAGTTGCAATAAAATTTGTCCACCGTTCACTATCTATTGACAAATGCACAGAGACACAAGATCAAACATTATGCCCCCCCCCCCCCTTACATTTATTTTATTGATTTTTTTTTAGCAATCAGCCTGATCTTAAATGTATCCCGTCCTGAATGAGCTTGGCTGTCTGCTCGGCTGCTTCATTTTCAAGCTGTTTTGCTCTTCTCAGCCTTGGGTTTGTTTTTGGTAAACTGAACTGCCACCGGGTTAATGCCTCCATCAGTTTTACAGCATCCATGAATAATAAAGGGCTTCCAATTGTTCGAATACCATATATAAACACGCATAGCTTCTTGCACTCACATCAATGTATCCACACAGTGTGAGATGGTTCAAGCTCAGCAGGCCAAGAGGATAATGAAAAGTCACAGAACTCGTGTTTGGGTAAATATCTTTTATTTGTGTAAATGTGTCTGAAACTAGTTTTTTTTTTACCTTCAAAATGCTCCTACAGCACATTGTAATGTGCCATTTCTGTACAAAAAGTTATCAATAGGGGTTTTATACAGAAAAGCTCAGCCTTTTCACAACAATTGGCTCCAGCTGAGAGTCACAGGCCAACTGAGAAGCCATTAGCCTGCTACCTGCCTTACCTGTGGTGGTTTCTATAGAAACGCACAAGAGGGTGGAAGATGTTGTTGCACTCACCTTTGAGCTTTTGGTAAACAACAGGAAGTTCCCTGGTGAATAAACTGCAGTCTGGAGCTTTGCACTTGAGCTTGTTATAGATATGAGGTGATCATTTGGCCACAGAACATTTGACTTTCAGATAAAGACGAGCTTGTTAGCTGGATATACATCGTGGGAGGTGGCTGGGATAGGACTGAGCATGATCCTGAGCACGGGTTCTCCCCGGAGGTCGTTTAGCATCCCTATTAACATCAACCTGCATGGCGCACGCAGGCGGCAGACACGGTAAGAGTGGAAGATCGACGGGGCCAGTGAGCAACAAGACTTCTGTAAACACAGCTGGGAGTTCATTATGATCGAAAACCACGTTCAGATGTAAACAGAGCTCCACAATAGAGACACTGTTGGTTTTCTAAAGAGCAGTGGAAGAAACACATGAATCTGTCAAGTTTACATTACTTGAAACTGATTATTAGTGCAATTTTCACATTCTGCACTCAAAAAACTGTGACGATAAATGCACATTTAGTTTATGTTAACAGTTTTTGTGTGACAGATACTTCTTTCTTCTTGAGATCATATAGAATATAACATAATATAACATCAATAAATTTATTTCACTGCATGATTAAAGAAAATACATTTTACTGTACCATAAATATGTGCTGTGTGTGTGTTGGGGGCGTGGGGTTTCACTCAGGGAGCTGTTCCATGCTGCTGTGCAGGAGCAGGAGTGGGATGGGTGTGGAGGGCAGGGAGCTCGGACCCAGATGCCGGCGTCCAGCGTTGGAGAAGACAGAGCCATCCTGCTGGGCTTCACCATGATGGCCTTCTCTGTGCTCATGTTCTTTGTGGTCGGCATCACGACAGTCAAGCCTTACATTACCAGGTCTAAGATTTATACATTTAAACTTTATTTATTTTTTATTGTACTCTATTAATCCACAACAGGGAAATTAATTTTCTGCATTTTTCCCATTGCACATGTGAGCACACACGTGAAGCAAAGAGCTGCCATCTAAGGTGCCCGGGGAACAGATGGTGTGGGTTAAGAGCCTTGCTCAAGGGCCCAGAGTGGGGCAAATGAGAGTGGAGGCAGGTGTGGGTGTTTCACCTTTTCCACCTACATTTTGATGTTGTCGGTCCGGGGAGTTGAACCAGCAACCTTCTGATCGCAGGCCCACCCTCTCTAGCCTCTGCGTCACCCCTCCCTCTGGCACCAAGATCAAGAAACGAAAGCAGCTGCATTTTCAGAGGAAATGATGAGTTCAGAATCGTCTTGCTAAAATTTACTGAGAAACTGAAACTGAGCTGTTAAGGTTAAAACAGCTGAACACAAGCTAAACTTTTAAAGCTAAATGCTAGTTCAAAGACAATTGTGGAAAAATGCTAGCTAAAAGCTAAATATAGAATAGGACTAGCTAAAGGCTAAAAGTAGCAGAACTGTAATGAAAAGATAAATGAAAAAGGCTAGCTAAAATCTAAACATAGCAAAACTCTGGTTAAAAGCTAAAAGTAGCACAATTGTAGCTTAAACTAAAAGTAGAAAAACGCAAAAAATGTCCAGTTGTTTTTGTATTGAATGCTTTTTGAATTCATCATGTCCTGGATGACTGAGAATCTTCACCAGCATAGAAAAATGCTAGCTAAAAGCTGCAAAAGGAAAGCTAAAATCTAAAATAAGCACAAAAAAATATGAATATAGAAATTAGAAATAGCCAAAAGCTAGCTAAAATTATTAAAAGGTTAGCTAAAATCTAAAAATTATTAAACACAAGCTAAAAGTAACAGAACAGTAGCTAAAAACTGAAAAAGCAAAAACTATTAAAGCTAAACATCGAACAGTGGATAAATGACAAAAGTGGCATAAGAAAAAAGTAAGCAAATTTTCTGACTCAGATTACAAATACGACATTTCTCAAGTAATTTAAGAGATCTCACTGTATTTTAATGGAGAAAAATTTGTAGGCTACATAAAAGTAAGTAGGATGTTACCCCTGCGACCCGACCCCGGATAAGCGGAAGAAAATGGATGGATGGATGGATAAAAGTAAGTTACTATATTAAAAAGTATAAAAGTTACAGAAAACTAAATTCATAGCACATATTGCTGACTGAAATGTGTGTTTTGATATTGGATCAAGTAAAATAAAAGAGTAAGCAGAAATACAGTTATCAAAACCATGAACAGGATAACAATTCTGTGAATGCTGAATCAGAGTCAATTCCAGTGAACAGATACCCCAAAACTGTAAACATCTCATCCAACACCTGAGGTACCAAAGCAGGAAAAATAAGCCCGGTTGTTTGTTTGTTAGATTTTTTTGGCTGCTCCTATCTGCAGGGCTTGCCACAGTGAGGGAACTCGCATGGTAGATTTGACAATTGTTTTATGTCAGATGTCCTTCTTGATGCAACCTGTGCTCGGACCTGCAACCTCAGGATCTTGAGACCAGCATTAACCATTACCATAACCCCTCCCCTTGGAGGGGCGTACCAAAGAGACCATCTTATCAAAAGCAGAACTGGTTTGTTCCACTTTGGAGTAAGCTGTTGGGGGAAGAATCAGTTTTGTTGTGTGTTTCCTTGACTGATGAAGCCTTCCGGATCGAAGGCGAAACGTTTCAGCATAAAAAAAAGAAACTGTCCAGATGACCTGACTGAAAAATGTTGGATTTTATACCTGGATTATTGAGCATGGACTTTAGTGTTTTTAAACCTTGCCTGAAGACCTCATGAAGACCCTGCGAAGATCATGTACAGTTTGACAAATGTTTTATACCATGGTGAAGTCATCCTCCAATGTGATGGGGGCTTGAAGGAAATAAACCAATGATGTCAGCAAAGACTGCTGAAGTTTCAGATAACCACAACCCATTCTGCAACTGACAAGTCCAGTAGTGCCATAAAACCACAAGGTCACTTTTGTTATTGGAGAATGGAAGGAAGCAGTGGAATATCAGTGGTGGATAGTACTTAAAGCAGGCCACACATTATCTCATATATGCTAGATGCTAGGCAGATGAGTTCCAATAGGATAAATAGGATTACCAGGCAGCACAGTGACGCAGTTGGCAGAGCTGCCTCCTCTCAGCAAGCAGGTTGCCACATTTCAAATCCCAGCCAGGGCCTTTCTGGGTGAAGTTTGCATGTTCTCTCCGTGCATGCGTGGGTTTTCTCCAGGTACTCCGGTTTCCTCCCACAGACAAAAAAACATGCACATTAGACTGACTGGTAACTTTAAATTGTCCCTAGGTGTGAGTGAGAGAGTGAATGGTTGTTTGTCTTTTTTGTCTCTATGTATCCCTGTGATGGACTGGAGACCTGTCCAGGTTGTCCCCCACTTCTTGCACAGTGATAGCTGGATATGGGCACCAGTGACCCCCATGACCAGAAAAGGAAGAAGCGGGTAAAGATAGTGATTGGATGGATGGATGGATGGATGGATGGATGGATGGATGGATGGAT